ACATAACAGTGTAAACTAAAATGTGCGCACTTATTTTAGAATACAGTGTTATGTGGATATGTGAATTAACTCTAAACCAAAACCAGTTATTTATTGTCCTGTAAATTAATTCCTATATTTAAAGAAACAAATGTGAATGCAATATTACTTATAAGCCTCTACACTAACATGGTGGGTATTACCACTGTGTGGCTGTAAGTGCAGCCATCACAGAGTGGTAACAAGATGGCCACTTCCTTTGTTAAGCTAGCCAAAAGACTGGGGTTAAGCGTTACAGAGTTGGCTGATCAGGTCAAGTTTTGTGACCCACGGCAATGCATGCTTGATCCTGTTCGCTATTCCTCTGAACCTGTTGTTGTGAAAACTGTTGTGGGTGTTACTTCGTCCCTGGACTATGTGGCTCCCCATCCAGTTAGATCTGAGTCAGTCAGCCGTGTCGGTTCACCTATAGACTGTTTGAAAATTGATTTTGTTTCTCAACCTGTGTCATTCCATCCAAGATTCTGAAAAGTACTGTCTCTGCTTTCTTCCTTCTCTGACCTGTGTTAGACAGCACATCGTTCCTCAAGAGACAGTTGTTGATGTTGTCTGTTTTGACAATGCTTCTGTTTTTCTCTGAGCTAATCTCCTCCAGGACTGCCAGCTCTAACCTGGATATGTTAAAAGCAGTTGATTTTCTAGGACCTGCTTGCTTTAAACTTAAGTCTCCTAAAATTGAGTTCAGCACCAATAACCAAGTTTACCCAGTGACTGTTACTGTTCCTGTGCTTCGCTCTCCACCTCCAGTTCCTGTTTCCAGGGCAGCTCGGGCCCAGCTTTCCCTTGCACCCGTATCAGTTCCTCGGGTGAGTGTGGCTGAGGTCCAGCTGGTCCCTGCTTCTGTCTCCAGCCTGGCAGAGGCTTCGTTCATCCCTGCACCCGTACCTGCTCCTCGGGTGGGGTTGATGGACACCCAGCCATTGCCTGTGCCTGTTCCGGTTCCCCGGGTGAGGGCAACTGTGACCCTGCCGACTCCTGCACCCGTCTCAGTTCCTTGGGTGGGAACGG